GCAAAAACGGTAAATATTGGGTTGGTTCATAATCAATGCACGTTTTCTCAACTTCCACTTCTAATGAAGATAATTCTTTTCCAAAACAATTTTTCTGAGCGCAACAAAAACTATTGTAGACAGCAAACCTTTAGCTATACAACGTATACTTTTATGTGATTGCACTCATCACGGGAAAGATTTTACGGCTTAAAATTTATTGAGAATTTTTCTGGAAAGCTCTAGTTTAAAGGAGCATAACTTACTCACAAAAGGACTAGAATGGAGCAAACTCTGCTCATTGTGTAGCCGATGGTCGATTCAATAGTAGAGTGGGACTTGGCTTTTACAAAAATTTTCTGCGAAAAAAATATTGCCAAGAAAGCAAATGTATCATTTTCTCCTGCATTTTGGAGGAGGCAAAAACTTTTATTTTTTAGATTCCTTCAATTTTTTCTCATTTCAAAAACGAGAAAATTCTGCCGTCTTCCTATTATCAGTAGTCTTTGATCTACTCTACCAAAACCAAGCGAAAGTTCTGTAATTGCTTCTCATGTGAGCATTTTATAGAGCTCCGAGTGATCCCAACATTCAGTTAAGTTTGAGTCAAAGCTTCTCGGCTCAGGATTTCTAAAAAATTTAGCCTTGGCGAGCATTTTGTAGCAAATATCTTCGCGATTATAGCACATATTTTGAAACAAATTTGAGCATTTTTCATGGAATCAGGGCAAGTCGAAGGAAAGGAAAAATTTTCAAGTTTGAGTTCCTCACGTTTCCTTTAGAGGCACGGAACTTCAGTCTGAACAAAGATCTCCGAAAATGAAAGTGTATGTTTGAAAGTAGAAGAAACGGGCTTTGCGGTATTTTAGATGGTTTCAGAAAAAAACGATTTTTGATTGAAAACTAGCGTTTGAAAGAAGAGGTAGGAAAAACGTGGATTAATTATGAACCAACCTAATAATTATGGGACAACCTAATATATATATATATATATTAGGTTGTCCCGAAAGTTCGTTCGCACCATATTCAAAAAATCATAACTTCTTTGCATCATAATGATTTTGCGCACTTTAAATTTTATCAGAAAGCATAAAGCATGTAGTTTCCAACAGTCCCCTGGGAACTTTTTAACATGCTCAGATTGCAGAGATATAAATGAAAGAACGAGATCATACAAAATTTGGAATTTTTGAGCAAAAATTCTAAAAATTCAGAAACTGTGCGATAAAATCCAGAACAGCCATCATCCTAAGTTTTCCCATATTTTATTACTAACTGAGTCAAGTTTGTGCTGATCGAGGTCTTTTTTCAGAAGTTATGATTTTTTGAAAAAAATGCCGAAAAATCGATTTCTTAAGAATTCTGAGGAAATTAATTTTTCGGCATTTTTTTTAAAAATTCATAACTTTTGAAAAAAGGGCTCGATCAGCACAAACTTAACTCACTTAGTAATCAAATATAAGAAAAATTATGATAATGGCTTTTCTGGATTTTATCGCGCAGTTTCTAGATTTTCAGAATTTTTGCTCAAAAATTGCGAATCTCGGATGTTCTCGTTCTTTCATTCTTATCTCTGCAATCTGAACATGCTGGAAAGTCACCAGGGGACTATTGGAAACTACATGCTTTATGCTTTCTAATAGAATTTAAATTGCGCAAAATCATTATGATGCAAAGAAGTTATGATTTTTTGAATATGGTGCGAACGAACTTTCGGGACAACCTTATATATATATTAGGTTGGTCCGAAAGTTCTTGCGCATTATTTTCAAAAAATCATAACTTCCTTGACACTCGATGTATTTCGTTGGGATTACATGTATTCGAAAGAGGAATCCATGCTCCTCATAGCTGTTCTTTCGCCATGAATTACTTTGAGAAACTTCGAGAATTACAAGCAATTGAAGGAAATTAGTCAAAATTGACATTTTTCGAGATGGATCACGAAAAATTCTGGGAGTATTTTTATATGATAGAGAAAATTCTGCTCATTACAACGGTACTTTTTCCATGAGTTGAAACAAAAAAGATCGAGAGTTAGAAGCAAATGAAGAGAATTTCTTCAGTTTTGCATTTTTTGAGCATGCTCAAAAAAGCTTGAAAACGTCACAGAAAATGCGGTAAAGTCATGGACATAAGTTTTGTGACCTTCTCTTTCTAGCCGAGTGAGTTTCGAGCTAATCGAGAGCAATTTTGATTTTCGTGAAAAACGCAGGCACGAAAATCCGAAAAAATCACGAAAAACAAAATTGCTCTCGATTAGCTCGAAACTTGCTCAGCTAGAATGAGAACGTCACAAAACCCACGTTCATGACTTTTCCGTATTTTCTGTGACGTTTCTGGGCTTTTTTGACCATGTTAAAAATTACAAAACTGAAGGAATTCTCTTTATTTGCTCCTAACTCTCGATCTTTTTCGTTTCAACTCATGGAAAAAGTACCATTGTAATGAGCATAATTTTCTCTATCACATAAAAATGCTTCCAGAATTTTTCGTGACCCAGCTCGAAAAATGCCAATTTTGATTGATTTTCTTCAATTGCTTGTAACTTTCAAAGCTTCTCAAAATAATTCATGGCAAAAGAACAGCTGTAAAGAGCATGGATTCCTCTTTCAAAGAGGTATAAACCCAACGAAATCCATCAAGTGGCAAGGAAGTTATGATTTTTTGAAAATGATGCGCAAGAACTTTCGGACCAACCTAATATATATATTAGGTGGGTCACAAAGTTCGTTCGCCAGATTTTCAAAAAATCATAACTTCCTTCCTTCTTGGTGGAATTTCTTGAATTTATTCCTGTTCAAAAGAGGAAACCTTTCTTTTTACAACAGTACCTTTGGCATGAAACAGCGTGAGAAATTTTGAGAGTTACAAGCAGTTGAATGAAATCACTCAAGATCGGCACTTTTCAAGCAGGGTCACGAAAAATTCTGGAAGTATTTTTATTTGATAGAGTAAATTTTGCTCATTACAGTGGTGCCTTTTTCATGAATTAAAACGATGTAGATAGAGAGTTAGAAATGAAAAAAAGAGAATTTCTTCACTTTTGCAATTTTTGAGCATGCTCAAAAAAGCTTGAAAAGGTCACAGAAAATGCGAAAAAGTCATAAACATGGGTTTTGTGACCTTTTCTTTCTAACTGAGCGAAAATCGTGCCAATCGGGAGCAATTTTCATTTTCGCGATTTATTCGGATTTTCGGGTCTGCGTTTTTCATGAAAATTAAAATTGCTCCCGATTGACACGATTTTCACTCAGCTAGAAAGGGAAGGTCACAAAAGTACTCTGCGTTGATACCACTGCTT